TTCTTTTCCTTTTATTTTTCACTCATTTGCCTAATTGCGTGGATAGTATCAGTTGTTGATGGCATAAAGTCAAACTGAGTCTCTCCTATTTCGATTATGTCTCTTAACCTTTTTTTTATTATTTTTTCGTAGAGTATAAGACACTGTGACATTAGTTTTATGCCCCTGTAATTTTGACAGTTGTGTGGATCCCCTTTATTTTGAAGATAGGAACTAGATAGCTCTGTTTCCATTTTTGAGGGATCTCTTCATTTCCCAGTATTTTATTGTACAAATTTGTGAGGAGATGTATTTCATCATCTCCTAGTGCTTTAAGGCTTTCTATTGGAATATCATCTGGACCCCTAGCTTTGTTGTTTTTCATATGCTTGAGTAATGTGATTATTTCTTGTTCTGTTATTGGTTGTATTAGGTTTTGACATGGGGAGTGTTCGTCTAGATGAAGTATGTGGGGATTAAAGTTGAGAAGCTCCTGAAAATATTCGTTCCATCCATTCATTATTTCTTTTTCTTTATTATCAATTTCCCATCTTTATTTTTGATTAATTTTGGAGCTCCGTTTATATCCCTAGAATTCTTTTCTAGCTGTTTGGCTAATTTGTGTATTTTATTTTGCCCTTCCTTGGTATGTAGTTCTTCATACATGTCATCGTATGCCATAGCTTTGACCCTAGCCACCGCCTTTGTAGCTATTCTCTTGGATTTTTTGTAATTTGTCTTGTCATCTAGGTTTTTTGATTTGTTCCATATTTTATATAAGGCTTTTTTCTCCTTTATAGTGGTTTGTACATCTTCATTCCACCACCATAGTTCTTTGTATGATTTGTTGCCTCCCCTTGTCAAGCCTAATGTCGATTTGGCAGTGTCTATTAATCTGGATGAAAGGTCTGTCCACATTTTTTCACTGACTTGTGAGGAATCTATTGTTTCAATGTTTGCATTAATTGCAAATGCATCTGTCAATGTTTTTAATTTACCCCATTTGATACATGATTCAAGTTTTATCTTATTTTGAGTGGATTTATTTGAGATGTGTAAATCCATGGCTAGTAGCTTGTGTTGTGCGGCAATATCTTCTCCTGGGATGACTTTGCAGTCTATTACATCTTTTAATTTTCTGCGAGAGATAAGCATGTAATCTATCTGGGGTTTCCTTGTACCACTTTCATATGTTATTAAATGACTGTCTTTTTCCTATAGTAGGTGTTGGTTAAGGTAAGGTCGAAGGCTTGCGCTAATTTCAGTACATGCTCTCCTCATCATTTTTTTCTCCATATCCAAAACCACCATGATGCCTTTTGTAGCTACCTCTTGCTTTTCCCACATGTGCATTTAAGTCACCACCAATTATGACTAGGTCATTCTTAGGGATTTATATTAAAGCTTCATCAAGGATAGCTCTAAAGTCATCTTTCTCTTCTTCCTTGCAACCCGTTTGAGAAGCATATACTTAAAGGATGTGTAGTATTGATTGACCAATGCAGAGGTTTATCTTCATTAGTCTATCAGAGATCCTGTTGACTTTTACTACTGAAAAGGTGAGATCTTGACTGAGGATGATGCCGACACCGTTCCTGTTGCTAACAATTCCATTATAGTACAATTTATATACATCTCCATTCATTAAAGTCTTCTGACCTATCCATTTCGTCTCTTGTATGCACGCTTTATCAACTTTTCTCTTGTTCAACATTGATGCCAATTCTCTCGTCTTACCTTTAAGTGTCCCAATATTAACTTGCTAACCTTGTCTTCTTTGCTTTGACCTTTATTTTACTTTTCGCAGGATGGAGTTATAAACCCTGCGCGTCGCTTGGAGGGAACGCCCTAGCTTTCGTATTCATATTTTTATTTATGTCCTTCATTTTTGTTTATTAGACAAGTATCCCTAGCACCTGGCTGTCCAGCCTGTCGGTGACTGGGGTGTCATCTCTAAACTCTGAAATTCATCTTACCATATGTCTTTACACATCAGTCATCGAAGAAAAATCCAAAAATTTTTATGTTCCTTACCAGGATCGAACCTGGGACCTTCTATTTCCAAGCCTACATCATAACCCACTAGGCCACCCCGGCGATCTTATTTAGCATAAAATAATCTAACAAAATTTAAATTCAACAATAAATTTTCCCCCATATCTTTAAAATTTAAAGAAAGGCTTAATATATTCTTTGACGAGAATTCTATAGATTATATAATATTCAAACAATGGATAGCAGTTGGAACTACCCTCGAAACACTGACAAAATCCGCCGACGAATTTGTAGATTATTTAATTGAATAATTAAACAATTTGATTCCTCATTTTTTTATTGCTTCAGGATTATCATTAATTCGATTTTTTTAAATTCAATTTAAATGTTGGCGAATTCTTAGTTATCGCAGACTTTTCAGAAAACTATGCATTTGTAGTGCAGGACCATGCACAAGGATTCAATCAGACCAACAATCAGGCCATTATCTACCCTTTTATGATTTATTACCTTGAGGACAACATAATAAAACATGTAAATTTAGTGGTTATATCAGATTGTTTAAAGCACAACGCATGTGCATTTTATTTATTTCAAAAATTGATCGTATTCTTGAAGGAAAGATTTAATATAGTGGCTAAAATTTACTATTTTTCTGATGGATCAGTAATCTATATAAAAATAAATAAGACTTCATTAATCTCTGCAATCATGAAAATGATTTTGGGATAAAGGCTGAGTGACATTTTTGAAATCGCACAAGGTAAAAGTTCCTGCGACATTTTAGGGGCCGTTACTAAACGGTTATCAGCTCGAGCAAGCTTGCAACGCCCATATGAACATCACATATTGAGAACAATAGATTATTTAACTATGCAAGAAATAATATTTATGGGGTAAATTATATATTTGTGAGCAATAATGAATATATTAACATAAAAAGTCATCTTGAAAGCAGATTTTTGAGAGCAAAAATAATTTCTGGAACACAATGTTCCAAGCTTTTATTCCTCTAGGGGAAAACAAAAGTCAAAATTTATTAAAATTCCTTGGATGATAATAATATATGATATATTTTAATTATAAATTTTTGATTGTATTATATGTAATGCAATTTGAGGCAGATAAAGTTAAATATGTTTAAAATTATTTTGTCAAGTAACTTCAAGACAAAATTTAACTAAAATGTTAAACAAGGCTCATTATTCCAGCCACTTCTCAAAAATTTTGATAAAGATAAAAAAAAGTAAGGGCCTGTCATTTAGATATAATTTTTAAATTAACATTATTTCATAACTATTCATTAAATTAAAATATGATGATATTAATGTTAAATTTGTTCAATTTTAGCTATATAAAGAGTGATAACTCCTAAACCCATGTTCATCCCAGTCTAGGATTTTGTACAAATATAAAGCAGTGTGATATCTATCTACAGAAAATAAATTTAAAAAAAAAATACCTTTTTTTTCTATGGCCATTTCCGGTTTTACACATCCGGTTGTATATTAATCAAATATGATATTTATTTTTATGTCATTTTAAATAACTTTTATTAAGCTACAAAATAAAATTTAAATTATTTTTCTTAATTATTTCTCGAGATATTTGAAAATAAATGAGGTGCATTTTGACAAAAATGTACCCTTTTTTCACGCTTTAAACGGCAATATCTTAGCAAGTAAACAGTGTTGGAAGGTAAAATTTCATTTTTTTCTTAGTATAGTATATACTACCAGTATACAAAATTTAAGAAAAATTGAAGGGGGTCGGGTTGAAACTTTGGTTGTTTGATATGGAATTCACCATATATATATTAATAATATAATTATTACTTATATTTTTAGTAAGATTTGATAACCAGAAATATGAATTAAAATTTTGGTATGAAAATGGTATGAAAAAATTGATTTTTTATAACTATAATATGATATAATAACATATGATACAAAGCGAGTTAGTGATAAAATACGAAACAACAAACATTAAAAATATGATTTCAAAAGTTATCAGTTACCATTTAATGCATAAAAAATACTATTGAAAAATTATGATTCCAAAATTTATCCATGGGCACGAAAGGGTTAAAAAAAATTATTCATGGATTTTTATTATTCCATCATCTATATATAAAATAATTACAAATAAAATTAATAATATCGGTTAGAGATCTGCAAAGTTAGGCCTGGCTCGTACTTGGCCCAAGTCCTGGCCTGAACGGGCTTCGAGCCGGGCTTGGGGTTAATTCTATTTAAAATAATCGGGTTCAGGTTGGGTCTAATATTTTTTTAAAAATTCAGGCTGGGTTGGGTCGGACCTTCGGAATTTTTTTAAAATATATCTAAATTTCTCAATTTTATATTGAATTTTTTATGTAAAATAAAAATATTTGATTTTATTTATTGAAACTAAAAGTCATATTTATTTTGAGAAATTATAAAAATTAATTTCTATATTAAATAAATTAGGAACATTTTTAAAAAAATATTGAGTTCGGGCCGGGTTGGCAAAACTTTTTTAAAAAAATTTCGGGCTTGGCCTGAAAAATTAGGCTTGATGTAGATCACTAATATTGGTATCAGATCTGGATCAGTGTAGCTCTATTTTCAATATTTTAACACAATTTCTACTAACAAGAAAGAATACTTAAAAAGTAATTGTTTTTTAAATGCCAAAATTGTCAAACCATTGTCCAGGCTTATTTTATCCTGACCTACAACCTCTTAACATTCCCCTTCAACTGGGCTTTCTATTCTTATGGTTTACCTTTGGGCAAGTATAGTTAATAAAAAGACTGGATTCTTTAAACCTTGTAATCTTTAAATAATTATTTTTTCTCCCCTTTATATAAAATTATTAAGACATAAATAATATAAAATTATATTGTCTTTATTGAAAGATTATGATTTACTTGTTATATATAAAAATTAATATTGATACAACTCCTTGAATTCAAATTTAAGATGCTTAAAATATTAATTGTTAATTGTTTAAAATCCAAGCCTACATTATGTATATGTATTTACCAGTGATAATAATGCAATATTCCTAATTCTAGGTTCCTGGTGAGTTGAAAGAATTATTAGCATATGCTCCAAATAATTTAATAAATTTTTGGAATGAACATTGTCATGTTTGCCTTTATTAATAATTGTATGGGTGGATATTATAATGATAATTGAGCTAATAGTAGTTTCTAGTATAGCAATAGGTGAAATATAATCAGATAGACAATGTGTCAATTTATTATAACCAGATTCAATAAAAATAAACATGATCTTAATAATATTTTGTAATAGTTTGAACATTTTAGATGAAATATCAGCAATTGATTGATCAATAAATTCAGTATTTAGTTGTATTATTTTGCAAACTGTTTTAAATGTTAGAGTTAATATATTCATAAATATTTGAGTGTTTGATATGAGGTAATGAATATTTGAGTTTATGTGTTTCATATCTTTTAAATTGTTGTAAGGGGTAAATATTTCATTTGATAATATATTATTCAAAGTGACAATAATCTGTTGGATTTGATGTGATAAGTTTTTATGTTCAAGTTTAGAAGATATATTTTGATAAAACGTTGGATATTGTTGTAAAGAACTACAATCCATAACAACATCAAAGATCATTTCAAAATTCTTTTCAAAATTTATTAAAATTTTAGAATACATATTACATATTGTATTCAAATTCAAACAGGTTTGACTCTTACCATTGTTGGTAACTATATAATGACTTTTTTGTAAAATTCGCTCATAAAATCCCAGAATTTTACTATATAAATAAAAAAATATGTTTAGATAAAGTTAAAAATAGTATATGAGATAAAAATAAAAAGATAATTACTTGATTATTTTAAATAGATTCAAATTATAATTGCCATTAATGCTTAACAATTTTTCTAAGTTTGAGTCTATTTCTTTAAACAGATCTTCATCTTCATGTAGTTTCTTTAATAATAAATTTGAATTTCTCTTAATATAGCATTCATCGTCCTTTCTGATAAAGGTTATAGCTATAGTATCAACATTTGAAATCTAAATACATTATAAAATTTAAATTTAAACTAAATTTTACATTAATAGCATTGTTGCTACAATATTTTCTTTTTAAATTTCGGGTAGACATGAATAATGTTGTTAGCTATGTCTCAAAAATTCATATAATAAACTATCTGTCATGGTGTAATTTGAGGTTATGGGCCGCTAATACTACTATTAAAAAATGTTAAAAAAGCTAATAAGCTAAAATGGCTATCAAAATGGCCCCTATAAGTTTGAAGTGAGAGATTTATTATAAATATTGCAATCTATCCATTCCACAATTACATAAGTTTCATAAATAGCTGGGTTTATGTAGATCTAGGAGTCTCTATTAATTTTATTCATTATAAAAAATCTTATATCAGTAAGTTGAGTAATTTTTATTTAAGATGTTTTTTATTTTGAGAAGTATGTGAAACTAATGTTGATAAATAGGTATCTAATAATCTCATATTTTAGCTTTAAGTTTCAGTTATATACCTCTTATATATTAATATTACAAATTCTACTCCATTTTCCATTTTCATAACATTAAATTATTTATTAAAATTAAAACAAATTCTTATAATGACTTTTGCAAATATATTAAATCTTATAATATATTATAATTATATATCAAATAATGAATTAATGTGAAGTCATATTTTCATAGTAAAAAATAATATATAATAACAAACATTGATACTCAGTATACACATATAATTTCATTAAATAATCACACAAATGAAGAAAATATAATCTTTAATATCAATATTAAATGTAAATAATATTTTATAATAATAAATACAAAACAATTCTATAAATATTAAATGCAAAACAATTTTATAAATATTAATTGCAAAACAATTTTATAAATATCAGATGTAAAACAATTTCATCATTCATAAAAGGTAGGGTGAGCCTGATTAACCAAATAATACACATGATAAACTAGACAAAATCATTTAGAAACTAATTGTAATAGTTTGTTACTTCTTTAAAGAACATTATATAATAATTCATATTTTACTTTATATCTTTTTTTATCCTAAGAGAGTAAAGCTTCTTTTTTATACTGTGCCAATTGAGATAAATAAACTTTAAGCTTTGAGCATATAAACTTTAAGCTTATTATTTGAGCATACAAATTATAAGGTTAAGCGAAATTTAGCGAAAAGTTTGCCGACAAAATACCTAATTATAACTAAAAAATAGTAAAGGCGGTACGATACCGTAATTTGAGAATTGACATCTAAAATTTATTTTTATTTTATAGCTCATCAATTATATTTTAAAAATATAAATAAAATGTTTTTATAATATAAATTAAATTTATCAAAAATATAAATTATCTTATATTTTTTAAATTTTATTATGGATTGTTATATTTTCTATATAATATATCTGTTCTCAGAGTTGAGCAGTACCGCGAATACTTGTATCTTGTATTCAGTATTTTTTTGACATTTTCTAATAAGATACTAGTATCTGTGTCTAAGATCCTTTATTCTGAAAAGAATCTTGTATCTTTTTCATTTTCATTTTCATTTTATTGACAAAAGATACAGATAATATTCATGTTTAAAATTTTACCACTCAGAGTATATCATAGGCGTAGCCAAGGGGGGGTGCAAGGAGAAATTTCTACCCCCCCCCCCCCTTCAGAAATTTATCACTTTTTGTGAATATAATTTTAAGCAAATAAAAAATATCTCCCTTAGTCCTCCTTCCCACTCCCTGACCCCCCAAAAAGTATGTATATATCTTAAACAATAATTTGAAAGAAAGAATGTAAAAGTTGATATTTCTTTATAAAACTATTTATAATAATTTATACATATTTGGGAAAAAGCATATATAACTATTTTATAATTTTCCGATGTCCTCACTACGTCATCGGTCATGTCATCGTTACGTCATGTCATCGTTACGTCATGTCATCGCTACGTCATCATGGCGTCATGTCATCGCTACGTATTTATTTTTATTTTTTTTATTTGTTGATTTTATTTTATTTTATTCATACGATTTTTTTTAGATTTTAGAATATTATTTTTATTGAAAAATCGTCTGTGGGAAAATGGATGATGTTGAATGATTTTTTAAAAATAATTTCTATTAATATTCAGAATATGAATGAAATAAATAATATGAATAAAAAATATAATTCAAGAATTATTATCTCCTCATACCTCAACTTCCAAGATAATTTTATTTCATTTAATCTTTTTATTTTATAGACTCTCATAAATATTCACCCATTACTACCACTCACACATTTATGAAACTTGCTCTCTACAAAATATTCAACTTATTTAATAATATCACAATTTTTTATACATACATGTATATTATCTTCTATAAACCAAATTAAGAAGAGAATCAAATATATTCAAATATTTGTATATTCTTATCCTAAACTATTTCTAATCTCCAATTCCTATATGAAACCTTTTCTTTATTTCCCCTTTCTCAAAGATCTCATCTCTTTATCAATAAACTTCTTCATTTTATTTCTTTTACCTATTAACAAAAAATTCTTTCATAACATTATAAATTTATTTAATATAATTTTCTTATTTTTTTACATAATTCTTTTAATCTAATATCTTCTTTACCCTACAACTAATTAATTTTTTTGAACAACATTTACTAAAGATGTTATTTTTTAACCTTAAATTAAATCGTCTGCTTTTTTATCTTTTGCTTCAATTACCAAAATTTATTCCTTTTTATTCTTCTTTACCTTCAAATATGTCACTCAATAAAAAACTAATAATTTACTCTTACAATATTCCTGGACTTCTTAACAAAATTTCCATTCTAAGAAAACATCTTGAATTAAATGATATCTATATATATAATCCTCAAAAAATGTCAATCAAATTTAGCCAATAGTTTTCTTTTAAATATTATTTGTCCAATCAAAATGATTATAGCAAATTTGATCAATGGTAATCAATGTGAAAACTAAATTATTCATTCACAAATCACTTCCATATGCCCCAAATCAAGCATTTAAAACATTACTCAAGTATATCTATACTGGGGAAATGAACTTAACTTCTCAAAAAGTAAATCTATTATATTTAATTATTATTTTTTTCAAGATAAATATTTTCTTAAATATAAAATACATGCAACTTAAAATTAAATTATATCAGGCTCAACAGGAAATTATATAAAAATATTGTTCAGTCTGGGTGGTCAAAATTTTAGCAAGATTTGTTCAAACCAATTTAATCAGAGTACAAATTAATGCCACCCTTAAGATTTTTTATTATAAACATCCCTCTGGCTATACTGATTTTTATAGGTCGATTGGATCTGATATTAGTGTTGTCAAGGGCCTGTTTTTGATATTACATGTTTATAAAATAGAAATATCTAGGGATCTACCAATGTCTTTAACAGATTGAACAGATATTTCGTCTTTTTAAAAATATTATCTGCCAATTATATAAAAAATTTTATCCAATCCGATAAAATATTACTTATTATGTATATAGATTAATGTTATATAAATAAGTGATTTATCATTAAAAATATTTTATAATAAACTATAAATGATCATTACAATATATTTAAAGGACTTATGTTATTGTATAATTAAATTATAGATGTTATACTATTAAAAAGTATATGAGATGAGTAGATATATGTATTAAAATTTAAAACCTAAAATGTTTACAGACTATAGATCAGTAATCAGCTATTATTAATTTAATAATTTCAATATTGAATTGGTTCAGTTTCCAAATAGTACTTTCGATGCACCCCTAGAGATAGCTATATATTTATGCTATTTTATTCATCTATTGTTTTTTTTTTGAATTTATTTTTGCAAAATGCAGGCAATTTTTTAAAATTCTATTTGACCTAAGAAAGATAGATATTTTTTACATGATATATTTATTATGCTAAAAATTCCCCCTGGTGCAGATTTTAATGAGTAGTTGAAAATATAAATTACATCATTTTATAAGGTTTGAGATAGGTTAGATTTCGAGTTTTTCTCCCACGAATAGATCTAGCTCCTAGTGACTCTCAGTTACCATTTACTTTAAAAAGATGACAGTTTCCTATAATTCCCGCTTTTGTGATTACAATAAATAAAAGTCAAGGACAAACTTTTGATCATGTAGGCATATTCCTCCCTGAGCCCGTCTTTGCCCATGGACAACTATATGTGGCTCTTACTAGATGTAAATCTCAAAATAATATGAAAATTATGATTTTGACATCAGAATTACAAGGAAAAATTTTAAAAATGATAAAACATTCACACAAAATATTGTATATAATGAAATCTTAAATTCATAATTTGTAAGAAATTTAAAAAAGTCACCAACTTTGTTATTCACCATCAAATCACCAACTTTAAATCATCTTCAAAAACGAAACCACCTCGAGCAAAGAAAAGAGAACTTCTTCACCATTGCTAAACCATCTTCCTCACCAACAACAGTAAATTCTATTTTATAATTTCAATTTACACGTTTTATTTCAGGTTATTTACGGCAAACTACGAGCAAGGAAATTACAACATTATCTTCAAAAACGAAACCACATTGAGCAAAGAAAAGAGAACTTCTTTACCATCGCTAAACCATCTTCCTCACCAACAACAGTAAATTCTATTTTATAATTTCAATTTACACGTTTTTTTTCAGGTTATTTACGGCAAACTACGAGCAAGGAAATTACAACATCATCTTCAAAAACGAAACCACATTGAGCAAAGAAAAGAGAACTTATATTATTCATCAATCATTGAATAAAAAAGACAATTCATCACTCTTAGTCTTAATGGGTTGGAATTGGCCTGAAGGAGGAGGGGGAAGGGTAAAAAGAATTATCGTAAAAGAACGAATAAAATTCTCATCCCCGTCATTTTTGACGGGTTATCAACTAGTTAATATAATAATGATTCAAGAATCCTTAATTAATAATAACATAATTATAAAACTTAGAGGCTATACAATCTTTAATTCCAACCATTCTAATAATCACATTGGGGTATCATTCATCATAAAAGATTCAATTTTAAAATTTACAACAAACTTTGTACCTTTAATTTATACCTTCTTTTTTCCCCCTTTTTTAATCTTATTTTTTAATTACCTTACAATTAATTAACCTTTATCTTAATAACATTACATTCATCATGTTATTTTTTAACTTTTAGAATATCATAATAGGCTTGA